CCCTTTGAAGTTTGTCTTGTCAGATTGAATGTTCAGATCTGAGAACACATGATATATGTCTTGCATATGAATACCCTTGGTGACAATGGGGTATTATTTTGATTCACTTGATATATGTTATGGCACTCAACTTGCGGATTCCTGAGGTGACTTAGGGGTAATCTATGCATAGGGGTTGATGCACGTTTTTATTATCTTTTCTCTGATAGAAACTTTGGGGTCTCCTTCTAGTTCTTTGTGTGGATTGAGTATTATGAATCTGAAATTGTTTGATACATATTGTATAATTAACTCATGGGTACTCACGGTGACATTGGGGTATCTAGGTGACATTAGAGTTGGTTGATATGCATCATATGGTGTTATTTTAGTAAGAACTCTTGATTAGATCGATCGGGAAGAATAGCTTGTTGTTATTTAGGTACGAACTCTAGGATAGATTGATCGGAAAGAATAGCTTTGATGTGGTTTCATACCCTACAAACAATTTCTATCTTTTGTTCTCTGCTTATAGGAACTCAGGAGTGATTCTTTATTACACTTTGAGGGATAATCATATGATCCAACTATGTTAGCATTGTTGAGAGATTGCATTAGTGAAAGTATGCACTCTTGGCCTCATTTTCCATCATTGCAATACCGTTTGTGCTCCATTTTACTATTTACTACCTTGCTTTTTTTATTGTTTGCACTACAAAAACTCATATCTACTATCCATACTACACTTTTATCACCATTTCTTCGCCCAACTAGTCCACCTATACAATTTGCCATTGTATTGGGTGTGTTGGGGACACAAGAGGTTTCTTGTATTTGATTGCAGGGTTGCTCTAGAGAGACTATCTTCATCCTACACCTCCCAAGATTGATAAACCTTAGGTCATCCACTTGAGGAAAAATTGCTAGTGTCCTACAAAACTCCACGTTTGGAGGCACAACACGTGTCTACAAGAATAAAGTTGCATAGTAGACATCATTGTCCTGGTGACACCCAAAAAACTCTTGCTGCAAAAAAACACGACGCCGGCGCTGGTTGTCGATGAAGAGCCCATTCAGCTTGGTCCACACAACGCAGGCATCATAACCGTCCTGCACGACCGTCTGGAAGAGGTCCGGCGAGATGGTGAGGAAGAACCAGCGGATGATCGTAGTGTCGATGGTGGAACAATCATGGAACTCGGGGATGAGGCTGGAGTCGACGGTGCCGTCGAGTGGGGCTTGCCCATTAATTAGATCACCTGAGTAAGACAAGAAAGACGAAAGCGATGGATGCGTGGTCAATGAGATGATACTCCTGGAACACGAGGGAAAAATACGTCTTCCACGTGTAGTAGGAGGAGTCCGTCTGGGAGGGACGAACCGGTACCCACTCGAAGATGTTGAGATTGCGGATGTCGTTCATGTCAGGACGGTTGGCGTCGACGAACGGGTTGGAGTTAGTGGACGCGGAGGAGGTGACGGACGACATGACGGCTAGGGCGGCTCGGGGTGGCGCGAGGGTGTAGTGGGTTAGGGTTTGGGACGGGCGGCGGCTTCGGCGACGCAGGTGGCAGTAGCGGCTGGCGAGGCGGGAAGGCAGCGGCGGCTTCAGGCGAGTGAGCTGGCGAGCGGGCGGGCGATGCGGCTGGCGGGCAGGCGAGCTGGTGAGCGAGGCGGGCGGGCGATGCGGCTGGCGGCTGGCGGGCGATGCGGGTTAGCGAACGGCGCGGGTGGACTAAGCGGGCGGCTGAGTAGCGATGGGAATCGGGCGCGGCTGGTAACTCGCGGCAGGGAGAAACGGCGGCCGAGCGGGGGAGCGCGAGGCGGCGGCTCGGCAGCGGCGACCGGCCCGGGAGGCGCGCAGGCGGCGGCGGCGGCGGCGGAAGACTAGGGTTAGAACCCGGAAACTGATATCATGTATGATGTATGAATTCATCTCAAAGAGGTAAACCCCCACAAGTATATATAATGTACACGAGGTGGGCCACGATCTCAACTATACAAAAAACTATAAAGTGGGCCCAATATACAGATATGCACAACACATATACTCAACAGGTTTCCTGGATAGTACTATTAAAACCGTCGTCGCGGTTGGGACGTGAACGGAAGAGAACAAATTCAGCTAGGATGTCACCACAAAATTCCTATGCGTAAGCAACCGGTCGCACAAGGTGTAATTTACTTTTTGCGCCTGGTTAGTAGTAGCGGATACAAGGTTTATTTTTGAAACAAAGGCAGAAGCTTTGTCTTTTTCATTAATTAAAAAAGGCTGGAGTCCAGTTACTTATTAAAAACCGGAGGAAAACCGATACAAACAGGCCCTAGGGCCCTAGCCTGCACAAAAACACGACGCAACCAGAGCCACGTCCACTCTTGCCAACATGGCAAACACAACAGAAGATGCCCAACACCAAGCCACACTGTAATCCTTGATATGTTTATCCCAAGATGTAACTGACAAAGGTGTAATCCTAGATACCCCGATGTCTATATAAGCCAAGGGGTTTAGATCGTAGAGGTAGATTCTTTCACATACGATCTCGAGGTAGATCAACTTGTACTTTGTACTCCATCCACAATCAATACAATACAAGTAGGACATAGGATTTTACTTCTTTGAGAGGGCATGAGCCTGATAAACACGGTGTCCCTTCTTCATCTATTACCATCATGCCAAGATCACCAACTTGGAACCCTCTACCCGAGATCTGCCAGATTCGACTCTGTCACAATCCAATTTCACCCTCGAATCACACACTTATTTATCTTTTTGAGTAGTACACACCTTTATTTATGGAGTGACTAGACTCATCAAGATGAGTTATAGTTTGATATGATTCACCTTACCTTAGTTGACGTCACCCATTGTGTCGTCTCAGCCTTATTTCAGTTTTTTTGAGACAATCCCTATTTCAGTTGTTTCTCTAACCACATAACCCCCTCATTGGCCCACTAGCTTTGTTTCGTGTTGTAAAATTATGCTTGGGCTTTGACGGGAGCTACTATCTGCCACGACATAGGAGGATTTCCGACTAGGCCAGCCCATGAAGCTAGCGTAGGGCTCCAAAAAAATTGACCCCGAGGGGTCGAACACCCGACCTCCCTCTTAACCATTCTTAATTTCGAAGCAGCGCAAAACCTTATGGACCAATACCAACGCAGATTTGAACGTTTTTGAAATTTTGAACACAAAACAATTTTTTGAAAGAAAAGAACGTGAATGCTTTATGAAATGCAAACACTTTTCAAAATAAATAAATTTAACTGACATTTTGGAAAAACACATTTTTTAAAAAAAATCACAAACAATTTCTGAAACGAGAATATTTTTGAAAATCCCCCAAAAAATATGAGAACATGATTTCTTTTCCAGAAAGGGACCCTTTTTTTAGATTCCAATTTTTTTTAAACGCGAACAATTTTTGGAACGGGAACATTTTTTGAAAATTCTCAAACAAAATTTGGAAACATGAATATTTTTTGAAATTTGCGAACAGGGTTTGAAAAGTGAGCATTTTTTGAAACAACCAAATAAAATTTGAAAATGCGAACAATTTTGGAAACTCCTGAACAAGTTTTGAAAACACAAACATTTTTTTAATTTGCAAACAATTTTTGATATGGAAACATTTTGAAATCCAAAAAAATTTTGAAGCAGGAGCATTTTTTAAAACACCTGAACAAAATTTGAGAGCATGATTTTTTTTAAAATTCATGAAAAAATTGAAACTGGAATATTTTTTGAAACTCCCGAATGAAAAACACAAATATTTTTTGAAATTTCCAACTAATTTTTGAAATGGAGTTTTTTAAATCTTGAATAATTTTTGATAAGTTATGAAAATTCTGAACAAAAACATGATGAAAAAAAGGAAAAAAGGAAAAATAAATAAAAATAATAACGAAATACAAAAAGGAAAAAATAGCACGGGGAGGGTAGAGGTGGGCTGGTTCCTCCCGGAGTAGGAAGCTTACCTCGGTTGGTGGCGAAAAAAGGAAAAAATAGTATGGAGGCTCACCGGCGTGGCTCTCTATCGAGACAAGTTTGCTTAAGTGACATGTAGTTAATGAGGAGAGAGGTGTTTAGAGTAACATAACGTAACCCAAAGTAAAATGAGTCTACGATCTAATAAATGCAATCCTCTATTATCCTACTTTTTTTTTTGCGGAAACTCTATTATCCTACTTCTATATTACTTTACATCATAAATGTAGTACTTCCTCCTGTCCTTTTTACTCCGTGTATTAGATTTGTGTCAAGTTAAACATTGCAAAGTTTGACCAAATTTACAGTATAAAAATATCAATATCTACATTTCATAATGAATCCAAGAATATTGATTTGGCATTGTGAATGTTGGTAATTTTTTCTATATATGATTTAAATAGAGATATTTTAACTTTGGACAAAACTTATACGTAGATGACACTATTCTAATTTACTCTACGCTATGATTAGCTTAACCGAACAAATAGCGACGCAAGCCTACGGACAACAACACGAATCTCCACGGGGTCCAATCGGACGGTAATGGGCGTGAGACCATACTAAAACTCAGCTAGCACATCCGCTTATTTATCTATTTTACGTTTTGGAACACTGATAGATTCACGGAGGGGCCAAATCATGCGAATTTCCAGCACCAACAAACAAACTTGTACTACATCGATATGCTTCAAAAAAAAACTTGTACTACATCGATCGCGAATTTCCCGCGAAAAAGAGATAAATAAAAAACCGATCGCAGTCTCTGCGCATTTCTAAATGCATAAGGTCGCCGTAGAAACGCTGCCGACCATATTAAGATATGCACACATATGACATCAACCGCTCGGTCAGTTGTCTCTTCTTCCGATGGTTGGCTCGTTGCTTGCTTCGTCTGTACGCAGCGGAATTCTTGCGCCAAGACTCACGAGGCATCCCCGCAAAGACGTCGGGATTCTCGAGAAATAGCGTGCCCATCGGCCAGTGAATTGCTAGTGAACAAGTCGGCAGGCGGTCAGAGGCACGGGAAGCCATGGCCGTGGATTGCTTCCACCGCGCGCACGCGCTGGCCATCGTCAACGCCGTCTGCATCGGCGGCACGGCCATGATCCTCTACGCGCTCGTCAACCTGGCGCGGAAGCCCGACCACAGCAGGGGCTCCATCATCGTGCTCACGGTCTTCCTCCTCTTCTGGGTCGGCGTCGGTGCCAGCGTGTACACGGCCTTCTGCGGGGTCCTCTTCCCGTGGTCCGCGCTACGCCGGTGCCTGGCCTCTGCTCACGGAGCGCTCCTGCATCACCTGCGCGGCGCGAGCCGGCTTCTCTGCCTGCCTTGCCGGTCCAGGCTACGGGGCCGGAGCGGCAGCAGCAGCGCCGTTGTCGGCGGCGCCCTGCCGCAGTTTCTGGACCAAATACAGCGGAGTCACATGCCCGCGCTTGCCCGGGAGCCGCCAGCGCATGGCGGCGCGCGGTTGGCGACTGCGTATGACGTCCTGGCGTACGAGCAGCCAGAGGGCGGCGGCGGCGCGTCGGAGTGTGCGGTCTGCCTCGTGGAGGTGGAGAAGGGGGATACGGTGAAGCGGCTGCCGGCGTGCCTGCACATGTTCCACCAGCAGTGCATCGACCCGTGGCTACACGAGCACTCCACGTGCCCGGTCTGCCGGTGCGTCGTCTTCGCGCCGTTGCCGGACCAAATGGTATGAGCGACACCGGCGATAAAAGACAGCTGAGCGCACAACTCAAACCCTTGTCCAGGTCTCCCGGGACGGGCGATGGCGGCGCATCTTGCGTCGTGGCCTTTTCTGAAGGCATCATCTTGAAGTCGTCTTCGGTTGCGGCTTCCGCCAATTCCTGCCGTGGGGATGCCGAGACGGCGAATCTGGATCAGATTGGTGCGACCTCTTGTTCGGCTCCAAGCGGAGATGCTTTGCTATTGGGTTTTGGTAGTGTGTGTTTTCCTGCTTGTTCAAGGGATTCTCGTGCCCCACCCTATGTTATGGACATATAGATGGGTTTCAACTTTCAACCTCCTTTTTAGAAAAAAGTGGTGTTCAGTTGCAAGAGTATGATCAGGCCTTGTATAATGGGAGGTGCTTAGAAAGATGTTTAAAAAAAGAGATGCTTAGAAAAATTAACTGGATTTTTCTGAAGCACCGGTGCCTATTTCTACAGGAGAGACGCTTAGTTAAGCGTCTATCATGTATAAATAAGCACCGATGCATAAGAAAAGCCTGATTTATTTCTCTAAGCACCTCCCCTAAGCACCTCCCATTATACAAGAACTCAACGTAGGACCGATGCTTTTCTCCAGCAATTTCCTGCGCCCGAGTGAGGGTTGTTTAGTCGCTTGCACGGGTAAGCATCTAGTACAACAAGGGCTGTGTTGATGGTTGTCTATGTGAAAGTCAGAGTCGCTAGCTCGTGGAGGTGACCATGATGACTCTTGGGGACAATCTCAAAGATTGTACTCGTGTGGATAGCCATGTTGGCCGACTTGTCTTGTCTAGACTGTTGTAATGGTTTCGCTCGTTCAATCGAGCAACTTTACACCTTCTTTATTAATGAGATGAGACAAAAAAAATTCCTTTGTATCTAAATAAAAGTCCATACATTAGTGTTAATTATTACAAAATTATGCATGAAGGAGGGCGACCCTTGCTACCAACAAACCGTGCTACAAGCCGTTCGGGCGTAATTAGCAAGACAATGTGAGACCTTGTTTTGTTGCCTCAGGATCTTCACAGGTTTAAACTCTGCAGCATGTAGTTCTTGATCTCCCTGACCAATTGACCATTGGATAATTTGTCAAGTGAGGCATCAGTCATAGAAGAAAGAGCCACCACCGAGTCTGATTGTACTAAGATCAGAAGTTTAGACCTATCAATAGCCATAGACATTCCTATCTTAATAGCTTGAATTTCCGCCCCGAGAGCGTTGTTAAAGTAGAATAATAGTTGGCATGATGAAAAGATGATAGAGCCAAAGTTATCCCGTAGGATCATGCCTGCTCCCGCCGAGCCTTCTTCCGTTGAATAAGAACCAACCGCTGACAAGGCAAGCCAGTCAGGTGGTGGCGGCTGCCATGGTGTATCCGGTGGCATATCCTTGATCGGTACTGGATGCAATCTAGCAAGGTGTTTGATTAGAAAATGGGTAACACGAAAAGAAACATAACCACGGCACACCTGTAACGAAAATGAAGTGGGAAAAACTTAAATCAATGTGTTGCTTGGGGGTAAAGGTACGCAAATAAAATACCATTTTAGTCAAAACAACATTATATAGATATCTCAACTTTCAAGCATGATTTTACATCAATCCTAACAGTAGTACTAGAGGGAGTACATGGAATTTGTAGTCGAGGGGGCGTCATATTAGAATACCAGGTGGTCTAGAACACAGAAAACATGGAACACGATATATCCAACTGTTACAAGCCTCCAAGATGGATGAAACCCTACTTCGTGCCTTGCCTTTTCTTTATATATGGAGAATATAGAGGATTAGAATGTTGAGGATGCTTGCTGAGTTAGGAAACTTGATGAGTTTTGATGATGGTCATGGTGATTTTGACAAGAACCTCCAAAAATCTTCTACGTGGTGTAGGCTAATCTAGGTGAAAGGAGGGGAACCCCTTTACGGTGACCATGGTGAAGGAAATATGCCCTAGAGGCAATAATAAAGTTATTATTTATTTCCTCATATCATGATAAATGTTTATTATTCATGCTAGAATTGTATTAACCGGAAACAATGATACATGTGTGAATACATAGACAAACATATAGTCACTAGTATGCCTCTACTTGACTAGCTCGTTTATCAAAGATGGTTATGTTTCCTAGCCATGGACAAAAGAGTTGTCATTTGATTAACGGGATCACATCATTAGGAGAATGATGTGATTGACATGACCCATTCCGTTAGCCTAGCACTTGATCGTTTAGTATGTTGCTATTGCTTTCTTCATAACTTATACATGTTCCTGTAACTATGAGATTATGCAACTCCCGTTTACCGGAGGAACACTTTGGGTGCTACCAAACGTCACAACGTAACTGGGTGATTATAAAGGAGTACTACAGGTGTCTCCAAAGGTACATGTTGGGTTGACGTATTTCGAGATTAGGTTTTGTCACTCCGATTGTCGGAGAGGTATCTCTGGGCCCTCTCGGTAATGCACATCACTATAAGCCTTGCAAGCAATGTAGCTAATGAGTTAGTTACGGAATGATGCATTATGTAACGAGTAAAGAGACTTGCCGGTAACGAGATTGAACTAGGTATTGGATACCGACGATCGAATCTCGGGCAAGTAATATGCCGATGACAAAGGGAACAACGTATGTTGTTATGCGGTTTGACCGATAAAGATCTTCGTAGAATATGTGGGAGCCAATATGAGCATCTAGGTTCCGCTATTGGTTATTGACCGAGAATAGTTCTAGGTCATGTCTACATTGTTCTCGAACCCGTAGGGTCCGCACGCTTAAGGTTTCGTTGACAGTTATATTATGAGTTTATGAGTTTTGATGTACCGAAGGAGTTCAGAGTCCCGGATGAGATCGGGGACATGACGAGGAGTCTCGAAATGGTCGAGACGTAAAGATCGATATAATTGGACGACTATATTCGGAGTTCGGAAATGTTTCGAGTGATTCGGGTATTTTTCGGAGTACCGGAGAGTTACGGAATTCGCCGGGGAGTATATGGGCCTTATTGGGCCATACGGGAATAGAGGAGAGAGGCCAAAAGGAAGGAGGCCTGCGCCCCCCCTCTGGTCCGAATTGGACAAGGGGCGCAGCCCCCCTTTCCTTCTTCCTCTCCCCCTCTTTCCCCTTCTCCTACTCCAACAAGGGAGGTGGAATCCTACTAGGACTAGGGAGTCCTAGTAGGACTCCACACTTGGCGCGCCCCCTCCTAGGGCCGGCCTCCTCCCCCCTTGCTCCTTTATATACGGGGGCAGGGGGGCACCCCATGACACACAAGTTGATCTACGGATCGTTCCTTAGCCATGTGCGGTGCCCCCCTCCACCATATTCCACCTCGGTCATATCGTAGTAGAGTTTAGGTGAAGCCCTGCGCCGGAAGAACGTCATCATCGTCACCACGCCGTCGTGCTGACGAAACTCATCCCCGACGCTTTGCTGGATTGGAGCCCAGGGAACGTCATCGAGCTGAACATGTGCTGAACACGTGCCGTACGTTCGGTACTTGGATCGGTCGGATCGTGAAGACGTACGACTACATCAACCGCGTTGTCATAACGCTTCCGCTTACGGTCTACAAGGGTACGTGGACAACACTCTCCCCTCTCGTTGCTATACCATCACCATGATCTTGCGTGTGCGTAGGAATTTTTTTGAAATTACTACGTTCCCCAACAGTGGCATCCGAGCCTAGGTTTTATGCGTTGATGTTATATGCACGAGTAGAACACAAGTGAGTTGTGGGCGATACAAGTCATACTGCTTACCAGCATGTCATACTTTGGTTCAGCGGTATTGTTGGATGAAGCGGCCCGGACCGACATTACGCGTATGCTTACGCGAGACTGGTTTTACCGCCGTGCTTCGCACACAGGTGACTAGCGGGTGTCTGTTTCTCCAACTTTAGTTGAACCGAGTGTGCCTACGTCCGGTCCTTCAGAAGGTTTAAACAGCACTAACTTGACGAACTATCGTTGTGGTTGTGATGCGTAGGTAAGAACGGTTCTTGCTCAGCCCGTAGCAGCCACGTAAAATTTGCAACAACAAAGTAGAGGACGTCTAACTTGTTTTTGCAGGACATGTTGTGATGTGATATGGTCAAAACGTGATGAGATATAAGTTGTTGTATGAGATGATCATGTTTTGTTGAAGTTATCGGCAACTGGCAGAAGCCCAATGGTTGTCTCTTTGTTGCATAAGATGCAAATGCCAAATAATTGCTTTACTTTATCGCTATACGATAGCAATAGTTGTAAGAGCAATAGTTGGAGAGACGACCACGTGACGACACATTGATATAGATCAAGATGATGAAGATCATGGTGTCGTGCCGATAACGATAGAGATCATGACAGTACTTTGGAGATGGAGATCACAAGCACAAGATGATGATGGCCATATCATATTACTTATATTGATTGCATGTGATGTTTATCCTTTATGCATCTTATCTTGCTTTGTTTGACGGTAGCATTTTAAGATGATCTCTCACTAAATTATCAAGAAGTGTTCTCCCTGAGTATGCACCGTTGCGAAAGTTCTTCGTGCTGAGACACCACGTGATGATCGGGTGTGATAGGCTCTATGTTCAAATACAACGGGTGCAAAACAGTTGCACACGCGGAATACTCAGGTTAAACTTGACGAGCCTAGCATATAACAGATATGGCCTCGGAACACGGAGACCGAAAGGTCGAGCGTGAATCATATAGTAGATATGATCAACATATTGATGTTCACTGTTGAAACTACTCCATCTCACGTGACGATCGGACATGGTGTAGTTGATATGGATCACGTAATCACTTAGAGGATTAGAGGGATGTCTATCTAAGTGGGAGTTCTTAAGTAATATAATTAATTGAACTTAAATTTATCATGAACTTAGTCCTGGTAGTATTTTGCAAATTATGTTGTAGATCAATAGCTTGCATTGTTGCTTTCATATGTTTATGTTCCCAGAGAAAATTGTGTTGAAAGATGTTGGTAGCAAT